GCAGTCAGCAGCTCGTCGGGAAACAACAAATTAAAATTCGACGATATTAGGGATATGGTATTGAGTGAAGAAATTTGACGAAGAGAATCGGGTGAAGCATCAACCTCCTCAGCCTTGCACATGGAGTCTAGAGGGAAAACTTCAGAAAGAAATTCAAATCGTGGCAAATCGAAATCCAGAAGGGGAAAATCATTAACGAGAAAGAAATATTTTACATGTTATAATTGTGGCAAGAAGGGTCACTTTAAAAGAGATTATTGAGCACTGAAGAAAGATACCGACGCACAGGAATCTGCAAACATGACAGAGGAGACAGGTGATGCCATGATTCTAGGCGTCAACAGTCCGATTGAATCATGGATCTTGGATTCAGGGGCATATTTCCACTCCACCCCATGCCAAGAAATCATGGAGAATTATGTCAGTGGTGATTTTGGGAAGGTTCATCTAGCTGATGATGAAACTTTGAAGATCATCGGAAAAGGAAACATCCGACTAAAGTTGCCAAACTAGACCACCTGGAAGCTGAAAGAAGTGAGACATATTCCATGCCTCAAAAGAAATTTGATTTCTGTAGGACAGCTTGATGGAGAAGGATATAGCACAACCTTTTCAGGTTGTGAATGGAAGATTACCAAATGAGCACTCGTCATTGCTCGTGGTAAGAAGGCTGGTACTCTCTATGTAACCTCAAATTTATAGAATATCATTATTGCAACAGATGCTGATGGAAAATCAAACCTATGGTACCAAAGGCTTGGCCACATGAGCGAGAAATGGATAAAGACACTTTTGTCAAAAGGGAAGCTGTCGGATCTAAAGAATGTAGATGTTGGACTATGCGAGGATTGCCTCTTTGGCAAACATAAGAAAGTCAGTTTTGCAAAGAATGGCAAGACACCCAAGGCTGAAAAGTTAGATTTGGTTTATACTGATGTATGGGGACCATCGCCAGTTTCATCTCTTGCAGGCTCATTATATTATGTCACATTCATCGATGATTCTATAAGGAAGGTGTGTGTTTATTTTCTGAAGAAGAAATCAAAAGTCTTTGATACCTTTAGAAAATGGAAGGCCATGGTGGAAAATGAGACTGGTTTTAAAGTCAAGCAGTTGAGGTCTGATAATGGAGGAGAATAAAAAATAGTAGATTCAGAGATTTATGCGCAAACAATGGGATCAAGATGGAGACAACAGTTCCCATGACACCGCAGCAGAATGGTGTAGCAGAGCCCATGAACAGAACTCTGAATGAACGTGCTAGAAGTATGAAGATACATGTCGGCTTGCCTAAATTTCTATGGGCTGAAGCTATCAACACTGCAGCTTACCTGATCAACCGTAGGCCCTCAGTTCCCTTGGATGGAGGAATACCAAATGAAGTTTGGAGCAAGAAAGAAATAAACCTTTCACACTTAAGAGCGTTTGGTTGTATTTCTTATGTACACATAAATTCTGCTGAAAGAAGCAAACTTGATGCCAAGTTCAACAAATGCGTCTTTGTTGGTTATGGTGGTGATGAGTTCGGTTACCGGTTTTGGGACTATGAAAATCGAAAGATCATTAGAAGCATAGATGTCATTTTCAATGAGAATGTGATGTACAAAGAGAGGTCAATTGTATAATCAAGTAGCTCCAATACCGAAGCTGAAACAAAGGAATTTGCTGAGTTCGAGGAGATTTCTGAAAATGGTGTTCAGATCAGTCCTGAAGCAATTCAAGAAGAACCAAGCACACCAGAACTGAGACGCTCCTCCAGAATTCCTAAATCAACCTAGTGTTATCCGCCTTCTTTGCACTACTTGTTGCTGACTGACAATGGTGAACCAGAGTGCTATGATGAAGCAATGCAGGTGGAGGATTCAGTCAAGTGGGAGTCTTCCATGAAAGATGAGATTGACTTGCTTATGTCAAATCAGACATGTGAATTAGCTGAATTACCACCAGGTAAGAAAGCACTCCATAACAAGTGGATTTACAGGATCAAAGAAGAGCACGATGGGAACAAACGCTACAAAGCAAGATTGGTTGTAAAAGGTTTTCAGCAAAAAGAAGGCATTGACTACAATGAAATTTTCTCTCCAGTTATGAAGATGTCTACAATCAGACTGGTGTTGAAAATTATAGCTGTAGAGAATCTACATATTGAGCAGTTAGATGTGAAGACAGCTTTCCATCATGGTGATTTGGAGGAGAAAATCTATATGAGGCAACAAGGAGGCTTCATAGAGGCAGATAAGAAAAACCTGGTATGCAGGTTGAAGAAGAGCTTGTATGGTTTAAAACAAGCTCCTAGACAGTGGTACAAGAAGTTCGATAGCTTCATGAGTAGCAGTGGTTTTACCATATGCCAAGCAGATCATTTTTGCTACATCAAGAGGTTCGACAACAACTTTATTATTTTATTATTGTACGTTGATGACATGCTCGTTGCAGGTTCAGACATGCAAGAGATTATACACTTGAAGCAAAAATTGTTGAAGCAGTTTGCTATGAAAGATCTGGGCGCTGCAAAGCAGATTCTTGGGATGAGGATCAAGAGAGACACAAAGTCGGGGACTTTGATGTTATCACAGGCTGAGCACATCAACAAAGTACTCTCCAGGTTCAACATGCAAGATGCTAAACCAGTAAGTACACCTTTAGGTGTTCATTTTAGACTCTCCAAAGAACAGTCACCAAAGACGGAGGAAGAACCTGCACACATGGTGAAGGTGTCGTATGCCTCAGTAATTGGAAGTCTGATGTATGCCATGGTTTGTACTAGACCAGATATTGCTCATGCAGTGGGAGCTGTTAGCAGGTACATGAATAATCCGGGTAAGGTACACTGTGAAACAGTCAAATGGATCCTCAGATATCTACGGGATACCATAAACAAAGCACTTTGTTTCAAAGGTGGAGATACGATGCTGACAGGCTATGTAGATGCTGACTTAGCCGGAAATGTTGACATCAGAATGAGCACTACTGGGTATGTCTATACTCTAGGAGGAACCACAGTGAGTTGGGTTTCTCAACTAAAGAAGATAGTTTCTCTCTCCACAACTGAAACAGAATATGTCGCTGTTACGGAAGTCAACAAGGAGATGGTTTGGCTCCAAAGTTTCTTGGAAGAGTTAGGCAAGAAACAAGAAAACAATATCTTGTATTGTGATAGTCAAAGTGTTATCTATCTAACGAAGAATTCGTCTTTACATTCCAGGACGAAGCACATACAATTGCGATATCATTTTATCCGGTCTCTTCTGGAAGATGGGATTTTGAAACTTGAAAAGATCAGTGGGGTTCAAAATCCGGCAGACATGTTGACAAAGACGGTGACTACGGACAAACTGAAGTTGTGTTCAGCTTCAGTTGGCATGCTAGACTAACAAAACCAGAAATGATGCTGCATTGATCTAGGTGTGAAGACAAATTAAAATCAGTCTTCAAGTGGGAGATTGTTGAAAAGTCAAGCATCACGTGTGCGGCTGGCAAGGAGCACAAATTGTTGAAAATGCATTGGAATGGTAGGCACCGAATTTCGGTGCAGTTTTTTTTGAATTTTGGGTAATGGGATAATTATAATTAATCCCTGAACTTTAGGGTATTTTCAAAGATTAGTCCCTAAGTTTCAACTATAAATACATTAACCCATTTAGCTTCAAAATCATCCTAAATCACTTATTTCTTCCAATACTAGAGAGCTTTCTTGTGAGTAGTGAGTGTTTTGTAAACACCTGTAAATTCTCTCTTAGTAAAAGATCTGCAGCAGTCCGGAGACGTAGCCATAATTGGATGAACTCCTTTATCAATTTCGGGTATTATTTTTCCGATTTTATTTCGCATTTTCACTAATTTGGTTATAGGAAAATTACTCGTTTCTCGATTTATTTCCCAACATTAATTTGGTTTGTATAAATTTAATATTAAATGCGAGTCTCAATACTTCCATAGTTGATTTATATAAAAAAAATTATAGTACTTGAATTTTGTTTAAATAATTAGACTCGGAAAGAAAATAAAAACTTACTCTTGAGACCATTTGCAAGTTGATTTGAATTATAATTAATATTATAAACATAATAAAAAATATTATAAACAAAAATTGTATGAATTTGATTATGATATAAATTAATATTTTTGTTTTTTTTAATTATTAATAATAAATTTATTATTGTTTAATTTTAAAGGAAGTTGAATGATTCTAGACTATAATTATTGAATTCTGGATAGTTTCTGGTGATTCGAAAACTAAATTCATATTCAGAATGCCAAAAAAAGTGGACTATAAATTTTAAGGTTTAACAATCAACGAAAATGACGACCAGTTGCGATCAACAATAACAATGGTGACTGATGATGGCGATGAGAGACTTTAATCTAATTCATAACTCAAAGTAATATTTTATCTAAAGTTTAGAGGAAAAAATGACAATTCATCTAAAGTTCAAGGTCTAATCAATATTTTATCTAAAATTCATAAGTAAAATTAAGAATAACCTCCTTTTAACTAATATGTCACATCATCAAACTAACAAAAAATTATAATTCAGTGACCAAAATGTAACAAATTGATAACTTAAGTAACAAAAACTTAAGTTTTTGAATTTGATGAAGAAAAGTGTACAAATATAAAAGGGCAATTGATCAATCCAATAGTTTAGGAAACAACTCAATAAAAAGAAATACTTGAAGAAGATCCTAGTTTTTTTCTCTACAGAATTTTCCATATACTGAACCGGCTTAGCCAAACAGACAAACCCAGTCTGTTTTCCCCCCAAAAATGGTGCTATCAAGACCAAAATTAAGAGCACAAGGGCTAAAAGAATAAATGGAAAGAAGAAAAAAAAAGAACCCTGGATAAAAAGAAATTTCAAATATAAATTCACGAGGATGGGTCCAAATGAGAAAAAAAAAAGCACAAGACTTGAAGACCTTGGTTAACAAGTACTACAAAAAGAAAAAAATAATAAATTATTTCTTAAGAATATTACATTGAGATTAGCAAATGTATACCAAATGCGGCATGACTATGTGGTTCTCAGCTGCCTGTTGTACCTAAGGAACTGGCAAAGGGTTGAAACCGAAAGACAACTGTAAACTATTCTACTATAACTTGTCGGAAAATGCGGCATGACTGTGAGGTATCAGTCACCTTGTAGGCAATACAGTTGACGAATATTTCCCGAAGCTGCCATATTATATTAACAAATCGATGTAAGCAACTAGAACCATGAATATGACTGAGCAATAATGAAAATCGTCACATAGGTGAATGTAAAGATGAACTTAACAAAAGGAAAGATAGAAATGATGGATTTACCATATAACCAGTCTCTGAAGTACACATGAAGAGCACTTGATAACTCTCTTTTCCGGTTTTCTTCAAGAGGAACTTCTCTCAATATTTGCTTTATCTCACTTAAATTCTTTTGCTGTTAAAAAACATTAGGAATTAGGCAAAAATTCAGTTAATTCAAAATTAAAAAGATTAATAAAACCAAGTACTAATTTAATTAAAAAAACATTGATTCTATCTTTGCAGGTAAAAACCAACTCAAGCCATAAAATCAAAAGTTTGTTATCCTCGATTTGGTTTACTGCATTTACATTTCTCTGTTGAGATGTCAAGTACGCATCAGGTAGGGGGAAAGGGTTGTCCTTTGTCGGTCCAGATGATGCACCTTCAAACCAGTTTGGAATCTGTGTTTTAAGAAATGTTATGTCATCCTCAAACAATAACAATTAATTAAAAAAAATAAAGTAAAAGAAAATAGAGAAGCACAAATAGTATCTAGGGATGGCAATTACCCAAACCCGTCAAGTTTCGACCTGATCCGACCCTATATGATCGAATTTCCTTTTTTGAAATTTGGGTTTCGGTAGGGTTTAGAGTGAAAATTTTCCGACCCGAGACAATACTTAATTCCCCTCTATATATTTAGGGATAATTACTATAATGCCCCCTCCTTTTTGGTTATCTTCCTGCTTTGCTGAATAAAAATGGGAAAAACATATATATTTTATTTGTGTCAGGTCGGAGGCGATCCTCCCCACCCAAAAATATATATATATATATATATATATATATAAAACATAAAACCGGGTCAGGTTCAGGGTGGGTGGAACCTCCCTAAACCCGAGTCAGGTTGGATGGACGGTGGAGGTATACTACTCGGGTCGGAGTCGGGCAGTTATCATCCCTACAAGTATCCCAAGCTAAGCTATAAAATACACCAAAGCTTACCAGGAAATTCGTGAACTGATCAGGATCTAGACGTGTAGCTGACTCAGTTTGAGCATCTGAAACACCTGCAGGATGAGATAATGAATCATGTGGATCAACCGCTCCAATTGGCAAAGCTTCGTCCCATCTATTGATAGCTGACACGATTCCAACTTCAGTCATGTGCTCCTCCAGTTGGGAATAGTATGTATTATATGGAGCCACCTGACAATTTAAAAAATGAATTAATAATCTGTAGGGGTCGTATCTACACTGCTGGAGAAAGGAACAAAGAACGCCTTCTTGGGGTATCCTCCTCCACTGATCTGGAAGAGTTCTTTATTCTATTTTGCAGCATAATTAGATTTAGATATCAAGTCTTTAAGAATATATGTTGTCTATGCTATCATAGTGATAAGCTGATAGCAAAGTTTGCATCACAATGTCCAGAAGAAAATTCCAGACCACCTATCATAGCAAGGAAACAGATAGAATGGTTAAGACAGCAACAATACCTGACAGATGATGATACTACAAAGAAATCAAATGCTAAATGCAAGGTCAAACAAGTGTCCAAAGACCTTAGTTTAGAAAATATGCACAAAATTGAAATAAGTTTAGCTACAACGCAAGTTTTCTTATCTTGTCACTTGAGGTTACTAAGTATGACGAAGTTGTTATAATACCTATGGATGACAAAATTAGCCTGACTCGACGAGTCCCGACACGACCCAACCCGAGCTTATAGGGCATTTTTTTTTTTTGAAAAAAAGTGGGTCTAGGGCGGATTTTGGAAAGGATAGAGTTGGGAAAGGAAAGGGTCCGGGTTTAGAGTAACAATTCCCTGACCCGACCCAATACATTTACGAAAATGAAATTTAATTTATTAGCCAAACTGCCAATATATATATATTATTTAGGTTAAAAACTCACCTAGCCATGTCACCCAGATCTGAAAGGCTGAAACTTCCAAATATTTCTCTAGTTTTTGAGGTTGAAGTTGGCCTTTTTTTTTTTTTGAGCTCTCATGGAAAGGATTGCCGTGCAAAGGAGGACGTTGAATTCCTCTGATGAATGGCCGATGGAAGCAAGTGTGCTGCCCCCTTTTTCTTTATTTTTGTGTTTCTGTGGTGTTCAATCTGTTTTAGGGTTTCTGTTTCTGAGTTGGGTTCTTTGACATTGAGTCGGCTTGAATTGGAGGTGGGTTTGTATCCCAAATCTCAGGACAGTTTGGGGTGGATGAAATAAAATTAATTCCTGGGGTGGGTCGAGGTCGGGGTGGCCAAAAATCTGACCCACTCGGCCGTTGCCATCGCTAATAATAACCTTAATAAGGCACTACAGGCATGCATCCCTTGTGCCCCCTATCCATCATGCAGACCACTGAGTAGTTGAATTTCTTTCCCATGTCAGATATCTCTTTTTTCCCCAGAAAAAAAGTTAACACTAGCTGGGCATGAGTCGGAAATAATTTATTTACAATACTCGCCACAAAACTCGAGTGTGATTGAATTAAATTATCATTTCACTGTAAAGTGGTCGGTTTGGTTCACTCACCATTAGTTTGTGGTTATCGCCAAGAACAAGGGGACGTTGGTTCACTCCCAAAAAGAATACACACTCACGACAATTGGCAATGCAGACTCGTTTCGCTGCTACAATCACATGAACACGTTCACAGTGTTCAACTCTTACAGCCTGCAATGACCAAAACAATTCAAATCAGATACATGACTGAAAGCATATCATACTTGAACTGCAAATAGATTGATAGTTACAGTGTGTAGACATCAGTTTGACCATTTTACAAGGGATACACCAAGTAAAAATAAAATATGAAAAGGGAGGAGGTAGGGAGAGCACGTAAAGTGTTCCCATAGGAGAAGAACTATTGCCAACAGCAAAGAATATTATACAAAACCACACGAAGAACCAGCAGCAAAATTTAATACATGACTTCATACAAAGATTACATATGCATATATCATGCATGGGCTAAAAAATATCTTATTATTGATTTGACAACCCTAGCAATATAAGCTGATTGTGTGCATGTGCATGTCCATATTTCAGTTTATATTTAGTATCATGGGCAAAGCCAGAAATTCAGGAAATGGAGCAGGGATGAAAAGAGGATATTCTTCAAGAAGTTCAGACGCTTTTGTTATGTATGTATTTGAATTGAAAACAGACCAACCAGCATTGGATGATAGATTGTAGAAAAGAGAAAATCAATGCCTTTACATTACACCTAAAGACATTCCAACCAAGAACAATTCAAAGATTACTCGAAGGAGCTTGGTAGATGAAAGGAAAGACAGACAAGAGTCGTATCCTAAAAGCAAAAATATAAGGAATCAAACAATAAGTTGTTTGATCACCTTTCGATCGAGTATCTTTGGTGACAAAGAAACAATTCAGTAACTTTTTTAATAGCGATGGACATTTTCCAATCATAAGAAAGGTGAATAAGAAAAATATTAAAGAACAAACATCATCAAAACAGATATATTTTGAAGTTTCAGTTCAAAAGACCAGAGATATTTTCTCAGCAATTCGAATATATAATTTGAATCCAAATTTAAAATTACAGTAGCAGAGAATGTTCGACCGGTTCCAAATTACAAATAGCTAACAACACAGAAGGTAATGATACCTTGCCAACAGCTCCGAGAACTATAGTAGCATCCGAGCATCCATAAATAACAGCATATCTCAAAGGCGCTAAAATGTAAATAGTTGAATCATGGCAATTAATCACCTGAAATTATAAAAACGTAAAGTTAGAGGTGTTTTATGCTACATAGTACATAATATGAAACAATCATCGAGAATTTAATAAAAGTTGTTGGAATAATTGGATATCAAACGATAATTATTGGAACCTTCAATTTTGAGGAAATGTGTATTCTTAATTGGTTTATGTCAACATCTTTCAGGTTTTGCCAAAGTACATAGTGAATAAATACCCCATGAAAATTTTCAGGTTTCATGAAATCACAAGCAAACATAAACTGACCTTCACAGAAGAATTTTTAATATCAGATGCCTGCTTTACGTATGATGATTTAGAGACTCCCTCAACAAAACATGGACTCCTCACACTTGGTGGAGCTTTGGCTGAACTTGGACTAGCATCAGTCATAGCAACATCCAGGTCAGAGCCACTAGAATGACCATTTTCTTTCGCAGAAGCTTTTTCAGTAACACATTCCAAAGAAGAAACTATAGTTTTCATAAGCCAATCATGAACTTGGGATGCTGGAACAGGTACAGCAGGCATGTCTGGATCTGAATTAGCAAAAAAGGGAGCAGCTTGGCTTAAAGGAACTCCTTCAGATACCTTATCATCAAATTGAATCAGGAAACCAAGATGCTCAAACCCTTCCATAGTTAAAACCTGAAGGAACAGTAGTTAGATGAGCAAACCAAGTCATAGAACTACTTACAAACACATAAAAAGAAAGGAAATATAGTAAGAGAAACACAAAAATGAGAAAGATCAATCGCGAATACATGGAAAGAAAGTTATGACAGCCTGTTTAAAAATAAAGAGGAACTGAGGAAGAATTAAGAGAATACAACAAAGCAAAACATTACAAAACGTTAGGGCATAAGAAAGTCACGTATGTTGTGAAAGGTGGAGATAGTGGGGAACAGAAAGATTCAAAAAGCTCCAACTTGTATTCTGAACATTATACAAGGTCACAATCCAGGCTGAAGTCATTGATTAATTACTGAGAAGCTAGCAAGGAATTTGTTTGTCCCCTTTTGGTCAAATTCGCTCATATTTCAGAGAGATTCATAAATGCTTCGATTTGCCGTCTGAACATTTTACAAGGAGAATCATGTTAAAGTCGGTGATTAATTGAGTAATGTTCTGTGTAATTGGGTAATTACAAAAAAACATAACAAAGTCGTAATAGTTTACGTAATTTGATAATGTTATATGCGATTGTCCCTTAATGTAACCTTATTTTGGGTCCCTTACCCTAGAACTACCCTTAAAACAAATCATTTTTAGTGCAAACCATTCCTAATGCAATGAAACCAACACATAAAGAGATAATCTGCACTACGAGGATTCGATTGTTTCATAACATATGGAAGAATTTTTCTACCTATTGCAGAGTTATTAATAAAACAAACGAGGTAATGCGCTCATAAACTAGAACATTAACCACATAAGAACTTTTATAAACAGCCAGATTTACATCCCAATTCCCAGCTCAAAACTATTCTACAAATTTGGTTCTACTAAGTGCAACTGTTAAAATATTCTACCGTGCCTTCACCTTTTATCCTTTAAAACTACAGTTACCACATGGTGGAATTAAAAAATTGCATTCCATATATAAACTACAAAGACGTCAATAATTAAAATGCAACAAATGGTCATTGTAAACCAACAAAAATAATTGCAATACTTGAGTTATATTTCAACTGTCTATGTTTTGATTGTACTGAAAAATACAAAACAAAACCCATAAAATAAAATAATTCCAAACTACATAGAGCAAGAAGCAGTACTACAAACCAGACACTCTTCTCCTTCGCCCTCCACAGGCTCTGACAGAAGAGAGAGAATATTAGCCAAGTGCTTTTGTAGATAGGAGAGCTGGTGGGCCTCTTCATCAGCCAGTGATGGCATAAATCGACGGCTGTTGCTGCGGACAAGCTACAATGAGAAGAACCACCAACATAAGTCTAAGAGTGTAATTCACTGTAAAGAAAAAGTCTGCAACCATTAACTTCGAACAGCAAATAGATCTATAATTCTTACAAAAGTTAACAGAATGGTGAGATCCATATTAATGAGACACATAGCTGGATAGTGCGATTAGCAAATGCCCACACTATGAGAAATACTAATAACAATCTCCCCAGTCACAATCCCAGCTGAATTAATCATATTTTACAGCAATCTTAAAGCAGCAGGGAGAGGGGGAAAATAAAAACATGAACAACAAAACTAAACAATTAAAACACTGCCTCTCAATTTCTATTTATTATATTTTTGCACAGCACCCATCCCAACTTCTTAAGCTTTAAAAAATGCAACAATACATTCTTTAGAACTAAACAAAAAAAGAGTCCATTTGGGCTTGGTTAAATTAATGTTTATTTGCGTCCAGCACCCATCCCAACTTCTTAAGCTTATAAATGCAGCAATGCCTCGTATTTAGAACTAAAAAGAGAAACAAATAGTACATCCAAACACAATAAACACTATACTTTTAAACTTATGCTTCCTTTTAGTTATTACTTTTGCAATTTCCCTCCCCCTCCCCTCTTTCTAACGGTCTATTTGGCTGTTAGTTTATGGTTACGACTTATTTTCTGCTATTTGCTTTTCACCTCCTAAAAATGTAGTTTAAGGGGAACTAATAACCCTAAGGGGGTGTTTGGTTCAAGGATTGTGAGATTCCCATGGGATGGGAATCTCACATTCCCATGTTTGATTGGCTGGGAATCTCATTCTCGGTAATGTTTTATTACCAATAGTAGATTTTTTGGGGTATATTACCGGGAATGTCATTACCTCCCTTCCCTTAGGTATTGTAACATTACCGACGTTTTGGACTAAAATACCATTAAATTTTTATTTCTTTTCAAAAATATCATTCTTCTGTCATTGAATAATAAAAATTCTACGAAGGTTAAATTACAAATTTATCTTTAAATTATTTTAGATTTACAAAAAAAAGTCTATAATTAAAATTTTATATAAAGTTCAATGGTTAAATTTTTTTTACCCTTTCATTAAAGCTTTTTTATATTTTTAATTTTGTAAAAAAAATTATATAAATATTATGAATTTAATTTTTTAAAGAAAATATATAAATATTTTAAAATTTGTAATATTATACAAATATATAATAAAGACAATTTGGTAAAATATACATTCTAATAATATTTTATTCCTTTAACCAAACACAGTAATCTTATATTCCTGCTAAACCAACCAAACACAAAATACAACATTCCCGATAATCTTATTCCCTAGTAATCTTTTATTCCCACTGGTAATCTTACATTCCGTGAACCAAACGCACCCTAAAAGTACTTAATATCCCTAGGCCCTATCCATCCATCTATCATATGTCTTATAGTTAATAGAAATTATAAAAGGGTAAACTACACGTTTAGTACTTAAACTATCAGCTTTATTTCATTTTAGTACCTAAACTTTCATTTATTTCAAAATCATATCTAACGTTTACTTTTGTTTCTTTTGTACCCTGCAGTTAAAAAATTAACAGAACTACCACACGTGGCATTTTTTATGGGTAATTTACATCATTCATCGCTTAATTATCTTCCCACTCCTATTTTGGTCACTTAAGTTTAAACATTTTCAATTTAACTACTCAACTTTCAAATTTCTCATGTTTTAATCACTCTAATTAATTTAATTAATAATTTTTGCGACATGACATTTTTATTATTTTATTAATATATAATTAAAAAAATTGAAAGTTAGAGTGATTAAATTAGGAGCAATTTGAAAGTTAAGTAATTAAATTAAAAAAAAATTAAACTTCAATGACCAAAATAGAAGTGAAAAGATAGTTGTGTGATGAATGATGTAATTTACCTATAAAAAAGTGTAATGTTGAAACAGTTCCGCTAAAATTTTAACGGCTAGATACCAAAACGAAACAAAAAGTAAATGTTAGGTATAATTTTGAAACAAATGAAAGTTTAGGTAGTAAAACGAAATAAAATTTGATAGTTTAGATACTAAATGTGTAATTTACCCATTAAAAAATTATGCTCCTGCATTAGAAAAGCAATTAAAAACAAAAAGTAAATAATTTAAAGCAACTTAATATTTATTATAAACGACTTGTGCTAAAATTCAACACCAATGCTGATGTACTTTTCTATATAACGGTATACACATGCATCTTATTTTCAAAAGAAATTGTTTTTATTTCTAAGTTATTAAAATGATTTTTTTTGTATATGCATTTTTTACGAACAAACAAAAACATCAACCAAATGGAATTTGAAAATTTGCCCCCAAAACAAGCAAAATCCTATTTTATAAAAAAATGTAAAACATACTCAAACATAATTCTCGAGTATAAACTATACACATGCAACGTTGGCATCAAAAAGTTAAATTAATACTTCAAAAATACTGTTTCCTTTACTATATTAAAAGACCTTTTGCATCCTATTTGTACCCAAAACTGGAGAGTCAAACACAAATTGTTAATGTAAGGTTAAAAACGGCAGAAATCGATTTACAACCAAAAATGTTATCAAGAGTGTAATTTTTTAAGTTGACGTGATAACATTTTAAGTTGAACCGAAAATGTTACATTATCAGTAACCATAACATTTTCGGTTGATATAACTTTTTCAGTTGTAACCCTTAAAACATCAATGTAAACTGAAAATGCTACAAATTTGTATAACTTTTTAGATTGAATATGATAGCATTTTCCTTTGAAACCGCCCTTGAATTAGCCTTAAATTAGGCTATCGCATTGCAGAATTACCCACCCAAAACAAAAGTAACATAAACTAGACATCGTCAATTATTCAAAAGATTAAATCCCCAGCGGCATCTTTCACGTTGCTAAAATATGGTATCACATTTAGTTATTTCCCAAATGCCAACCTAAGGTCAATTTTTTCGTGAATTCTCCCAAAGTGGTCATGAATCAACCACAATTGTGCAAATCAATAACTGCCTGAGTTTCAGCAACTACAAATCATGTTTAAAAAATAACCACATTTCACAACCCCCACCCAATAAAAAGAAGAAGAAGAAGAAGAAATGGCGAAGGGTCAAATTCCTTACCTGCAAAGGCGAAAGGGCCGACAAGAAACCATCAAAAGCTGACGTGGAAGGCCAGACATCGGCAACTGCAGCGGAGTCCTTGTGAGAGCGCGGCAAAAGCCTCTTATACGATTGAATGTACAAAAACAGGATCAGATCACGCAAATCGGCACCAACGGAGTCGATATCATCAGGCCTGGCGGCTACGAGCGGGTCGGTTTCAGAGTGGAGAACCGACGTGAGAGTTTCAATGACTAGACGCGCGTGGTCCGACGAGATCTGGAGCAACTCAGAAATGGCCTCCGAGTCGACTCGTTGAGTTGAGGATGAGGCAAATTTTTGCTTTAGAGGGGTTAGTGCTTCAACCGGGTCGTTAAATATGAGCTTCTGGATTGGTAGGAGGCCGTGCTCGAAAGGCTCGCGTCGCGGGTGAACGATAGTGGTCGGTACTGGATTCGGATCCGGGTCGCTCGGTGACGTTGATTGTTCGATTGGCTCGTCCATCGGTTTGATTCAAGGTAGCCTGTTTTTGTGGAGTGAGAAAATTGGACGAGTTCAGTTTTTGCAGATCTTCGAGAAACGAAGGATGTTGTAGAAGGGGAAGAGAAGGTGATTGTGTGAGGTCGGGTATAATGAAACTATGACGTGGCTGGATTTAATGAGATGTTATTTAAAAGTTAGTGGATACTAATTGCTCTTGTGATAATTTTTATACAATTTTACTAGTTGAGTTTTATTCGGTAAATGTGTAATATTTATTTGGATAAATTGTAAATTTCAACACTAAATTTTCTTTTTACTCTTATTTTAGTCATTAAAATTTATAAAAAGTTAATTTAATCATTAAAATTTTGAATTACTGATGTTTTGGACATTTTGTCGTTAAATAGTTAACGATATTATAACATGACACACGATATCAAAATGATATTATTTTAATAAATAAAATTTACACCAAAATAACATCATTTTGTATTTATATAAAAGTCAATTTTCTCTCTTTTCTTCATCTCCTCTTTTCTTCGTTTTTATTTCTCTCATTTTCTCTTTATCTACCCGAATTTCAGCCACTATATCAACCACATTTGATCATTGTGTACAGTGCTCGATGAGTCCTAAAAGTTCCCATCAAATTTGATTCATCTTCCTCAACATGAATGCAATGTTCATTTAATTAGAAAACGTCTTTGACTCCATGGACTTAACATTGAAGCTTTAATTTCTTATTCTTTGATCTTTATTGTTTGTCATTAGATGAAGTCTAGACGAACTTATGTTGTTCTTGACTCTAAGAGAAACATATCCACTATTGGAATCTATAAATGAAGACTCTAATTGTTAATGAGTCTCTTTTTAGTTTTTAGGCTTTTTTATTAATCTAATTTTATATGTTTGTTTGTTTGTTTTTTATGATTTATCATCTAAATCGATCCATGAATTCCTATATTTCAGATGTTGTTCATCAAATGATCAATGAGAGGCAATGTGTTGAGGTTTTTAATGTCTGAATTTTTGGGATTTAGAGTTTAGAAAAATGATATTATAGAGTTTACAATGAGGATGAGGTCTAAGACTTTTGCCATTAGAGGTGATTGTTCGAAATAGTACTACCATAAAATGAAATGTTAGCACTAATTAAAAATAAATTAATGAAATTAAAACAAAACTTTGATTGTGTCGTAGAAGAATCACTGCTTTAGAAGAAAAATCGTCCTGATTGGTGTAATCTTTGAACTGAACGCTCCCCTAAGATTAACACAATCTTTCAAAATTTGTACACTAAAAAACTGAAGTAAAAACTGACGAACTTCTCTTCTCGAAACTTTGAAGAAAAGATAAAAGTTGAGAGTATTTGAAATAGAAGTAAAGAGATTTGTGTTTAAGTGAATTAAAATAAACACAAATATTATCTATTTATAAACTAAGGATGCGTTTGGTTCACGGAATGTAAGATTACCAGTAGGAATAAAATATTACCAGGGAATAGGATTATTGTGAATGTTGTATTTTGTGTTTGGTTGGTTTAACAATAATGTAATATTATTGTGTTTGGTTAAAGGAATAAAAAATTATTGGAATGTATATTTGACCAAATTGTCCTTATTATATATTTGTTTTTTTAACAAGTTGATTTTTACTATAATATTACTATAAGATATTTATATATTTTCTTAAAAAATTTAAATTCATAAAATTTATATAATTTTTTTACAAATTTGAAAATATAAAAAGGTTTAATGAAAGGGTAAAATTTTATTTTAACCCCTGAACTTCATATAAAATTTTAATTATAGACTTTTTTTGTAAATCTAAAATAATTTAAGGATAAATTTGTAATTTAACATTCGTAGAATTTTTATTATTCACTGAAAGAATAATGATATTTTTGAAGAAAAAAATTTAAGGGCATTTTAGTCCAAAACACGGGTAATGACATTCCCAGTAATATACCTAAAAAATACACTGTTGGTAATAAAACATTACCGGAAATGAGATTATTGGTCAACCAAACAGAGGAATGTAGATTTCATTCCCATAATAATCCCATATTCCACATTCCTCCTATCTAAACAGCCCTAAAGGAAGAGCCATAAACGCTCTTCAATCAATTGTAAACTAAAAGGCACATATCATTTGTTAAAAAAAAGTACAAATAACTCTAAAAATTTGTTTGAAAAACAAAAGAGAGTTGATAGTTAGAGCTATTTTAAGTAAAATATTATTTTATTGGTATTTCTCGAAAATATATTAGAATCCAATTCCAAATAATTATTAGTCGATCATATATATATATATATATATATATAAATAAAAAGAGTAAAAGCCTAGCTAACAGAAGGCTTGCATAACCAATAACTCATACGGTCAAGATCGATCAAAAGTTGGAGCTCAGTTGGAAATTCTTCGAGGGTTGTTAAAGCAACTTCTTGAGCGTTGGGAAACTTGGCTATGAGATCGGCTGGGTGGTTTCCCTCTCTTGGATTCCATCTAATATCCGTAATTCAAGCTTTGTTACGGAGTCTATCGATAACGCGCACCAGAGATAGAGGAGAGGTGGACGCAGCAGGTTCATTTATCAGGTGGATAGCATGTTGGCAGTCCGATTGGACTTAAATAGATTCGAAACCCTGTTGCCATGCAAAAAGCAAACCATCGTGGATGACCCAGAGCTCGGCATGAAGAGCATCAAAAATGCATAATGCCATGTGAAAACCAATGATAGATGCCTCTTAAACAATATAAGAATTCCCGAAACAAAGCTTTCTTTTTTGAGTAAACTATACAAATGGTCACTAATATTTGAATTATTTTACTTTTTTTACTAATATTTTAAAAGTAACAAATTGATTCCAAATGTTATTGATTTATAACAAATGGTCACTCAACCGTTAACAGCCGTTACTGGAGTAACCTTTTGTACCAGTTAAATAGCTTATTCTTCTCAATACTCATAGTTAAAGTAGGTTTAACCTTTTGTACCAGTTAAATAGCTTTAACATCATCTCTATCATCCCTTTATTTTATTTTTCTTTGAAATGCGTTTTATTCTTCTGTACAATATATTAGACAAAATATGATTACAAATAACCTTCTTTTATTTATGGATCATGTTATTTAATTTTTTTTATATTTTAAAAGTATTTATATCTGACAAGTAATTATTTAGATATGAAATTATATTTATATATATATCTGGAGCATATTTAACAGTCATCTTCAATGCCGGATAAGAAGATGGTAATAGGAGCAATGTAACTTGAGTAATCATACTAACAAGGTGACCATAATTATACAGATGAACACCATTTCAGAAGGAAAAGCAAAAACTAATTGAGAATAAATGTGAAAAAGTAAGATATTTTTTCTGATGATAAGTTGACACACCCACAGAGAGAATGCTTACGGATTAAAGAATAACACTCCCGCATGAATTTAGCTTCTGCATATCCTCCTTGCTCTTTTCTGCAGATCACCGACAATCATAAAGTGTTCTTTCATGGTAAAGTGATACTAAATCAAGTATTATTTTCATGTTTCCTTTTCAAAAGCATGTACCAAGTATCCTGAGAAATACGTAGCAGGAATTGGGTTTTGGGTGGGGGGGGGGTTGCAAACAGATTAATTAATATGTCATGGATTCAGCAAGGATCTAAATGCAACTCTTGTATGTGATGAACCGATGAAGAAAATTAAGGTATCTTAATTCTAAGCAAACTTACATACCAAGAACATGTCATGAAACACAGCCTTTCCAATAATGGTTTTTCAAGAAAGATAACTTGACAAACCTGTCTTATTTTTCCCTTTAGCTGGCTGCACTACCACGTGCATTATGATAAAACCAACAGGAAGGCCGCCAATTGTTATTCTGGAATCAGCGAGAGTTTTGTTGTTTTCCAGAACTCTACCGACATGTATAAGTTTCAAATCTTTTATTGATTTTGGCGCTATTGTTTTTTGTCTGAAATTACACGAAGTCTCCATTAACTCAGACAACTGTTGCTGGGAAGGAGCATCATCCAAGACATTTAAATTGCAATTATATCATTATAAAATGCATAAACAAGACACATGCATACATGAGTTATGCATTGGCCAAAACCAGCCTTATTCTTCAAGCTGAATATGGTATCATCAAAATGAAAATTGAAGTTTATTATGTCTACATTTATAAATATAGTGGCAAAATCAATGTCATTCAAATGAGCATTGGGCAATACCGAAATTTGCTTTTAAATATACCATGCAAGCAATGTTCATCACTGAATTGATACTTATCAATTACAGGGCCAACAACAGACAACATAAACAACAAAGCCTGCAAAAAAGGTTAAAGCCGCCTTCCGACTCGAGTATTGAGAAGGACGAGCATGAAGAAAGAAAAAATGTAAAAAAGTTATGCAACTAAGCTTCTAATTAGAGGAGATGAAGAAAAAATAGGGAAGTTTAAGAATTTGAGAAGGATAGGCTTGGAGAAAGAAGAAAAACGGTGGATTGAAGAAGAGGAGGAGGAGGTGTGGCCGGTCAAAATGGTCTCATTTGACTAGATGATGTCAAAAAAAGTCACAATAATGTGTCACATCAATATTTCTTTACTCCTGTAGTAACGGATGTTAGTGGTCGACTGATCAATTTGTTATAAATCGATAATGTTAATAATTAATTTATTACTTTTTAAAATTCAATGAAAGAAACTAAAACGTACTAAAGTATTAATGACCATTTATATAGTTTAACCTTTGTTTAAAAAAAGTACGCTTGCTATATTAACCAAAAAAAGATATTGAGCGATAATATTTTGTTCATAAAGCCACTTGGAATTCATTATCCATAGAAACCCTAATTACTCCGAATTAATTACACAGTTCAGACGCCTCACAGCATCAAGAGCGGAAAGGGTTTAAAGAAGAAATGACGGCCAAAAGGAAAACCCCCCGTCAAGTCTCGAAACCCAGATCTCATTCGTGGTGTAGGCAAGTATTCCAGGTCTTAGATGTACCACAAGCGTGGCCTTTGGGCCATCAAGGGCAAACACGGTGGCGTTTTCCCCCGCCATGACCCGCAGCCTAAGGCCTCCGCTGCCGCCGAGTTTCCCCCAAGTTTTACCCAGCTTATGATGTCAAGAAGCCTCTTCTCAATAAGCGCATGCCTAAACCCACCAAGCTCAGGTTCTTGTATGTAATGCTTTATTCATTTGTAGATCTCTCTGGAGGTTGTTTGTTTCTCATTGTTGGGTTTTTGCTCTTTTTTTGATTTGTTTGTTTAGAGCAAGCATTACACCTGGGACGGTGTTGATTTTGTTGGCTGGTAGATTTATGGGGAAGAGAGTTGTGTTTTTGAAGCAACTTCCTTCTGGGCTGCTTCTGGTTACTGGTAACTTTCTTTTTTTCCTCACTTTTGTTTCGTTAGTATACACTCACATATGGATATGCATTGTTTCTTAGTTGAATGTTTGCTGGAAATTGTCTTGATGAAGTGAAACTAGTGACCTTCAGTGTAATTCTAAGAGTCTAGGGGTATTCAATCGGCAATTCGTTCAGTAACCCAAACCAAATCGTACTTTTGGTTGGATTAATCTTGGTTTTAAAAAGCGTAAAGAGCCTTAAGGCGCCTAGGGTCCTAGACATTGAAGCGCTAAGCGAAAGCGCTCGCTTTATGCACATTAAGCGCCAGAAAGGCTGAAATTTACAAAAAAATAAAGAATATTTATAAATTATCTTATAAATACTTAAATATCAAAGTGTCAATGCATATATTCAAAACTTATAAGTACTTAAACACCAAAATATAATTCTCAATTTACTTATAAGTTATAAACACTTAAATACTTATATACCATTAACCATACGACTATATGAGCATATTAATCTCAAAAGATGGTCTGCACCAAAAGTAGTCTAAAGTGAGATGAACAAAAGTATTTTTCTAAACCCTCAATTCCTTATAACTAAAATTCCTCTAAATCGTCATCGTCATCAACTCGGACAACAACATCTCCTTCATCACTAGACACTCCAATATCTTCTTCCATCTCATCTTCATCAACTAAGCATCTAAGAGATGGTCTACTAGAGATAGGATTATGAGTAGGAGATTTTCCTTTATCATTTCTCGATGGTCCGGCTCCATCATTCACTACTTTTGATGCTCTAGTTAGATAACTAGGCTCATATGCACCGGAAGCGTTAGCAACATCACTCCATGTCAAATCCTCACCAACAAACATCGCCTCATCATCATCTTCATCATCTTCCATTCTTCCCATCAACCACTCATTGCTCTCATCAATATCTTGCAAAAGAATGGGATCGGTCTCCTAACTTTTAGCTCGATGCTCCAAGGCACGATTGAATTTCACAAACACCATGTCATTCAATCTAGATTGTGCCAATCTATTTCGTTTCTTAGTGTGAAGCTACAAGAAAAAAACCAAAACTGGATAATCTAAACTAAAAGCCGATCTAAGCCTGATAATCTAATAGCCCGCTAAACCCTAAACAAGCCCAAAAATCATATCTGCTAAAGCCCAGAATCGTATCTTCTAAACTCGCGATTAAGCGCCGATTAGCGCTTTGCTAAAAGCGCTGCAAAAGCGCCGATTACTACCGCTTAATGAATTCGTAGTGCTTTTGCTATGCTGAAGCGCCAGGGGCCTCGCTCGAGTCGCTTAGCGCTTTAATCACGCTTAAGCGGCGCTTTTTTAAACTAAGGGATTAATTAACATAAATGAAATACTTTCGGTTGAATTAATTCGGTTTTGACAGAATCTAAGGCAGTTGGAAATCATTGTAATGTTCTGTTAATGTCCGATGCTGTAGTATGGACTGTGTGGCTACTTGAGCTGATATTTTCTTGTTTTTGTTAAGCATGATGCTTTATCTTTGCTTTCGTTATACTTCTGCTCATATGTTAGATTATGTCATAGCAAAACCCATTTAACATTCAGTATATGCCTGCTTTAAAGCTCGGCGATCATGAAACCATAACCTGAGATTTACTTGGTTGCTGTTTGTGTCTAGAGATAGTATCTATGTTTTTGGTTGTTATTACTTGTCCATTGTTTGTTATAAAACTAGCAGTTCTCCTTTTTGTTTAAATTTCATTATTTGCTTATATTTGGAGTTTGCTTTCACCTTAGGACAATTCAAGATCAATGGTGTTCCTCTAAGGCGTGTGAACCAATCCTACGTCATTGGGACTTCTACCAAGGTTGACATCTCAGGAGTCAACATAGAGAAGTTCGATGACAAAAACTTTGCCAAGGAAGTCGAGAAGAAAAAAAAGAAGGGCGAGGGAGAGTTCTTTGAAGCTGAAAAAGAGGTTAGTTATATGCATTTAGTGTATAAGCTGTCCTAATCCTAAATAAGCTGTCTTCAAATATTATATAGGAAAAGAAGAAGCTGCCAAAAGGCAAGAAAGAAGACCAGAAAGCTGTCAATGCCTCTTTAATAAAGTCCATTGAGGGTGTCCCGGATTTGAAAGCCTACCTTGCCGCAAGATTTTCGCTGAAGTCTGGCGTGAAGCCTCATGAACTTGCCTTCTAGAAGTGACTTTTGCATTTAGCTAAGCTGTCTTACTTTGGCGTTCTCTGGTTTTTAGTATTAGTGGTCATAACCGTACCATCGGTTTTATCGAATCAATATAAACAAACCATTTTTGTTTTTTTTCCTTATACCATCATATGCAAGAACCTCAAATTTCCTTTTTTGTTTTTTGTGCTAATCTGATTGGAGCTTGTTTTTATTTTCTATTCAATTTTATTTTGATTGAATTTATGCTATGGAATTTCACACAGCCTAACTGATCTTAAGATTTAATTCTTGGCCGCTAGGCGTTAAGTTGGTATTATTTTTTCCCTCAGATTTGCTCGTTAATGGTCCTCCATTCTCATTGATTTCTCAACTGAAATTAGAAAATCATATAAATGATTGGAAGCATTATCCGATATACTTTCTTTTTTAGCATCATCGAATATAATTTCGTGAACTTGAAATTAAAAGTTTGATTGTATGAAAGTTGTTTTTCGGTTCAATTGTGCGAGACAAAAGAAAAGCCCAGAGCAGGAAAATAAAATAATTAAATAACAAATAATCAATGCCTTGTTCTGTGAACCGAGAGTATTAATTAATTTCACCTATAAAAATGTTGATATACTTTTCATAAGGATTGCACAACAAATAAACCTAAATCAACAAAGCTTAGAAAATGTATATCAAAATAAAGTTTAGCAAAAATGGGCAAAATGAAGAAAAGAAAAAACAAAGGTATTAGAATTAGGATGATCAGCCACAGCAGCCGCCTTTCTTTTGGGTTTCCTGCTCCTGATTGGGAACAATAATCCGGGTTCCCTTAAGAAGACCCGCACTGCCATTGGCATCTGACTCATCATTAGCAGAAAGGGTTTTCTTTCTGATTATTCCGTATATCTCTGTTAGAATTGTCAAAAATGCAGTTTCCACATTGGTCGATTCTAGAGCTGATGTCTCCATGAAGAACAGGCTCTCTCTTTGAGCAAACTCTTGTGCATCTTCCGTTGGGACTGCTCTTAGGTTCCCCAAGTCACACTTGTTGCCAATGAGCATTACAATGATATTCTTATCTGCGTGTCCCCTCAATTCCTCTAGCCACCTTGCCATGTTGTCAAACGATTGACGCTTGGTCATGTCGTAAACTAACATCGCTCCTACAGCTCCTCGGTAGTATGCACTAGTCACCGCCCTATACCTGATACGAGTACAAATTAAAGTAAGACTTTCAGCATACCATGCAGCATGAAGGAACCAAAATGCAGTTGGTTGATGCCACAAAACACAGTTCGAGATCTCGCTGTATCAGCCTTTGCCATGTTACTTTGGGACCTAATCTATAAGTAAAAATATATAGAGTGAAATTACCAAAGCCAAAGCAATTTGGCATAAGCCAGATAAGGTTCAATTTATATTGTTTCGTATAGAGTAAGCCATAACTATGATTACCATGTCAGAGAAAAAAATTAGCAACATCCCATTGATGCTGCAGCAGTGTGTGACTGGTGTTTAAAAGCAAAGCAGTTGTCATCATTAATCATTTCTTGCTTTCAGCACATGAATGCACTAATAATATGTTCATGACCAATAATGACCATTTAGCACGCATTATGCTTGAAGTAATTAATGAGGTTTTATGTTATAGCTGCAATCTCATTCTGGAGAACTGAATTTTTTGAGACAATAACTCATTATCCTTCCACATTTATAAAGTCATGAATCTATTACTCAAACTCAATCATCTGCTTGAACTACTCTAAAATTCTTGAAAAACGAACCACATATGTTTTCTAATGTAGCACTACTCTGCTCGAGTAAAAATAACTTGATAATAACTTACTGTCTTTCACTTTATATGGTCATGAACCTATTGCTCCAAGTAATCGATCTGCTTGAACTGGCTCTATAAATCTAAAAAGATGATATGTCTATTAATGTAGCATTAATCTGTTTGAGTAAAGATGATTTGATTAGATTCATGGAACTTCGCTGAACAATATTTCTCTCCCAAACACCTAGTGCAGTTTTCCGAGCACCTGACATTTTCTTGTACAAATGTTTGTTTATTATTGTTATTCTTCCTTCAGTTTCCAATACCTCTATATTATCAAACACGTGCAATTTTCAAGAACTCCCATCAATTGTCTATCACGTTCAGCACAAATACATCCCAAGAATGAAGCATAAAGTTCCAGACAATCAATCAATGAAGTCAGAAAATACTCAAACCTACAATTGCTGTACTCCCGAGAGAAATATAATACAAGTCCATCACAAATGAAAAGACACGGCATAAATTACATGAAAATGCTTAACGGCATCAGAAATATCTCTTCTAATTTGAAAAATTTTAGAATCTGTAACTGGCAGAAAATAAGTCCGTATCTTAAACAACAATGACACCAAAATTTTGAAGTGAGGACTAAGAATTTTCTACCTAATACCATCAAAAACCATTCCCAGAAGTATTAATCAAGCTAAGCAGCTCAACTGCTATGACTATGACATTGCCTTCCTCTCTGAACAGTCTTTTAGTGAGAACATTAATTTAATTGAAAAAGAAGCAAAATAAAGATCTGTCTCACATTAACCAAATTAGAAAATTTCATCCCACCAATCCCTTGGGTTCAACTAAGTAGTCTTTAAGCAACCAATGCATCATCATCTCCAGAATCTAACCATAAGCCAAACAACCATGAAGTTTACATGTAACATCATTGAAAATTGTAAAAAATATATATCTATTTCTTTCTTCACAGATTCTTGTTTCTTTCATGTCATTTCGGCCTCATTTCCAATGTATATCATTTGCCTATTACAAGTATTAACAATGTTCCTTGGATAGGTAAAAAGATATAACAAAGAGAACTGTTTCCCGACTTTTTCTACTCTAAATTCTTTCATTTTCTCAAATCCAAATTTATGCAGACAAACTAATTGAAATTTTCAGGCATATAAAAGTAAAATCTAACCTTTCTTGGCCAGCAGTATCCCAAATTTGCGCTTTAACAGTTTTGTTATCAATAACAAGTGTTTTAGTCTGGAATTCAACACCAATTGTGGCTTTCGAATCCAAACTGAATTGGTTCCGGGAGAAACGTGCAAGCAGCTGAGATTTCCCAACCGCTGAATCCCCAATCAAAACCACTTTGAATACATAATCAATCTTTTGACTGAAATCCCCACCACGGATGCTTGACATTATCACCACCCAATAAAAAAAAATCACTCCTCAAATCGATCCACCGCTCAAAATCCAGAAATCAATTCAATCATAAAAAAATAAAATAATCAAATCATATAAAACATATGGGTTACGATTAATCATGTGCATCTAGTGGATTATACAAGAGAAAACAATAAGCTACGCATGACATTATTGTAGATCAATTCGATACATTTGAAGGACCAGATATGAAGGATGGTGAAAGAAAAGATGTAGAGATGGGAATTGCAAATTAGGGTTAGGGTTAGGGCTAGAGGAAGACGAAGAACAGAGAGTTTTGGGATTTTTTGAAAGCCATGTTTTTTTTGTTAAGACGTGAAATCACCAACGGTCAGTGCGGGACCCATTAACGGTTTTTGCTCATTGCTGCTTTAAAAGAAAAAAGTTTTGGTGTATTGCATGCACACCGATTTGTTGGTGTAGCTTAATTATACTGATAAATAAAAACAAATACTAATGAAATTGTACATCGAAAGGAATGAGTAATTTGTCATGCTTTCTAAAATTAAAACAATTTATATTATTATTTTAACAAAAAAATATTTCTTCAATTATATTTACGAATTTTACTTACCTGTTTGTCATTTTTTAAGTTTTTTTTTTATAATTCATTTCATTACCCAAAAAGCAGAAAATTGCTACAAAATAATCAGAGTTCTGATTACAAATATTGCCCTACTTACAAAATAATCGACAATCAAATTATACCCTAATGATTATAAAGAGTAATATTAACATTATCTAATCTATTTATATTCTTACCCCTTAAGTGTAAACCAACAATTTCCTTAAGTCTAAACTATACCCTAATTTATATTCTTAAAGGCAACAATTTTTGGAATTTTAATGTTCATCCCACATGTAGCTGGAACTTGAGGCGTATTTTTAAACTTAGAACCGAAGCTTCTTCAGTGTTGTCTGCTGGAACAATGAAAGTTTCTGTAATTTGGGATGCAATTCGTGATAACAGATCCCAAGTCCACTGGCAGAAAATTATCTGGTTTCCTTTGCACATTCCTAAACATAGCTTGATTTCTTGGATGCCATTACTTGATAGGCTTCCAACAAAAGTGAGACTTCACTAAATGGGGATTATCAATGAATGCCATTGCTTATTCTGCAACTATCCTTGGGCAACAAGGGAGCACTTGTTCCTCCATTGTCATATGGCTAAGCAATTATGGAATTTTGTTTTCACTCACATTGGTATGCAAAATTCCATAACCTCTTGGGATGTTTTTTTTTGTGTGGGCAAGCTCTACTTGGAAAGGTAAATCTTTGCTAACTTTGATTTTGAAGCTTGCCCTTAATGCTCTCATCTATACCCTCTGGGAAGAAAGAAACAGAAGGCTCTTTCAAGGTCACTGCAGAAACACCCAAGAGTTGTTCACTGCCATTAAGGATGTGGTACGATTTCAGTTGAGGGATAGGAACATAAATAGAAATGATAGCACTAATTCTACCCTTTGTACTCTTTGGAATATAAATTGCTCTTGATTATTTTGTAACTAAAATCTTTTGGTAAACAGAACATTGCTGGTTTTGTAGCAGATTATGTTATTGTTGTTGAACTTGTTCTTTGGTTAATGAAGCTGATTAATTTATCCAAAAAAAAACAATTTCCTTAATGACATGGAACATTTCTTCAACATTTCTAGATCGACTCTGAAAAAGTCTTTTGTTTCTTTCTTCCCATAGGATGTAAATTAAAGCATTCGAAGCAATCTTCATAATAGTAGTGAGCAAGGATTTACATTTCCAAAAAGCACAAGCCCAATCAAAGAGAGCATCCCAAGACAAATGTCTAAACTGCAAGCCATTAAGGGAGAAAACTGATGTCCATAAAGAAGCAACTGTAGGACATTCAAAGAACAAGTGATTCCTTGTTTCCAGAATAGCACCACAAAAAACGCATTGACATTCAATGATAAGCCCTAAGCGATGCAACCTTTCTTTTGTAGGAAGACTATCAAGAAAAGCCATCAAAACAATTAAACTATGCTTTGGGAAGTGGAGAGGAAACCAAAGCAGCTTATGACATGGTACTTTGGTACTCTTCACCCTAATCTCGTTCCAAATTCCACTCACTTTTTTAGTTCCAGAAGACAGAACAGAAAGGACCTCAGTTCTCATATTTAGGATTTGTCTTAATTCCAGTTCATTTTTTAAGTTCATCATTTATTTGATGAATAAATTTTATTTTTCATTCTTATAAAATGTTTATTTAAAAGAACAATTTTGATAGTTAATTTTAATTATTATTTTTATCATAATGGCTTTATTCTAGTTGTGAAAAAAAAGTTAAGAATGAGTTTGTCTTTTTTTAGTTTAATAAGTAGCTCTAGATAAGAATAGATGTTGGGGTACGATCACATACTCGAAAATTTTATTTAAATTATACGAGAAAAATAAAAGTTATGAATGGGTTTGTCTGATAGGTCTTGATTATTCTCCTTTTGGCAGAATGAATTCAAGTAGTAGAGCAGGAAACCACGGCTGTTGGCATGGCTGAACGCTGAGGAGGGGAGACAATCAGACATAACGGCTGATGGGGCTACGTATACTGGCGGCGGCTGCTTCCCTTTGCTACAACTAGAGTTTGGGGGGTCTGCTGTCAATGCGTTGTGTTTAGGCCTAGAACTTAGTTTGGATATTGGGTTGTTGAGTCTGGTCAGGTGATGTAATTAGGTTTTTGGTTTAATGAGCTTGGATAATGGATCTAATTTGGAATTGTATAATTAAATGGATGAATCGTCACTGACTTCGAAAATCTCTAAATGATAGTATCTGAAGGATTCCTTATTATGATTATTTTGTGCGGGCATTGGATTCAAAACTTTGATAAAATTAATTTCTCGCGTTCTAGTAGGTAATAAGAATTTATATCGTTGAATAATTAGTTGTCACATATAATTTTAATACGTTTGGATTCAAGCTTTGTTCATCTTCCATTTTTATTCTGTTTGTTTATATATACGTGTATAACATTTGATAGAACTTTGTAGGGTTCAGCGGTAGAATTGGAAAATTCTGCATTTAGAAAGCAATGAATGAACTATTGTACTTTTCACAACCATCAACACGAAGCCTCAATGCAAATGCATCCAAAATAGACTTTTTACAGAATAATTGCATGCATTCATGCTTCGGGGGCAACAAATTCTTTGCAGCTATACTAAAGGGAATGATGAAAGAGAAGCAAGAAAAGGGTTACATACATATAATCAAAGGTGCATGAAATTGTAGTTTTTCTGTCTAAAAAAATGTCCTAATAGAAAACATAAAGAGCTATATGAAGCAAATTAGGGTCCATGGATTAATCAAAATGGGCTTCTTTTTTTTTGGGATTCTCGGGGTATTAATATGTGCTTTTATGTTTTATTTTTTAAACTAAGGGAACTTCAATTAATTTTTGGGATTCTCGAGTATTAATGTGTTTCTGTGTTTTAATTTTTAAAAATGAATGAAATTCCAATTTTAATTATATACAGTATTTTACCAAAACATAGAATTTGATATAGCGACTGCGGGGGTAATTATATGTATTCTACACTTTGGATGACATGATATGTTTTGATTGGTCCTCTTTAAATTGTTTTTTATTCATTAAAAAAAACTAAAAGTAAATGGTAAATGATATATTTTGATTGATCACTCTTTTTTTTAATAGAGTTAATGTTCGAGATATTGAGATAACAATTTAAACTTTATGAGTCAATACAAAGTATACAATTTAAAAGACAATGATACATTTAAGTCTAAGTAAATAAATTTAATTGGTCATTGTTTAGGAGTATAATTATTGTCTTAATAGTTCATAGAATATAATTTTTAATATATTTTTTGTTTAATCAAGTTTAGTTTGATTTTTCATATCCAATTCAATTTGCATAATTAAATAACCTCAGTAATTATTAAAAACCTTTCAAACAAATAATACCTCATAATCACATCATACTATTATGAAAAACCTTAAATAAACTCCAATACACACCCATCCTAACCATTTATAGATTTAATTTATTTCGAATTTTGTATCAACCCACTAATTAATTTGAGAAAGCATTAAATATATGTTAATATTCTAATAAAGAACTAGTATATTGCTTCACAATATAGGATTAATTTTTTAAACTAATAAATTTAAAATAATATATAAATATTAAAATAAGAAAATAACATTGAAAATTATTATAAAATATATCAGACTGACAAAGTATATGAAAAATAAGAAACTTATAAATCATATTCATAAAAATGATGAAAATTTGACAGGAATATCTATTATTTTTTAAAAATTAAGTTACTATAATAAAATATATAAAAAATAAATTATAAATTAAAAATACGATATTAACAAATAAATCAAATTAAAATAATTGAAAATTTTATCATTACTCAATATGGAAAATAATTAGTTTCGAATCCTATTTGTTTACTGATATACTAAATAATTATATAAAATAAATTTAATAAAATCAAATATTTTTTATGTTTATCAAACTAAGGGGTTGTTTGTTTGCTTCAGAATAATTAAACGCTGAATGATTCAAATGCTGAATGATTCAAATATTGAATGATTCAGAGTCTCTGTATGAATTAGCTCTGAATGTGACATACTGTTTGATAATGGTTCTTAATCATTCAAAATGTACTTCTGTGTTGAATCATTCAGAATGTACTTCTGTGTTGAATCATTCAGCACTGTTTTGCTGAATCATTCAACACTGTTTTACTGAATCATTCAGAGGTACAAGTTTAACATTTAACGTTAAATAATTCCATTAAGAGACAAACAAACCGCCCCTAAAATTATATAAGTTTACAAACACATTACAAAAAAAGAGAGAACAAACCTTTCTATTGTCAAATTTATTTCCTTATAATTTCCCTCCTTTTAAGGCTTTAACCCTTCCCTCCTTACCACTTTCCCTCATTTTCTTTCTAACCCTCACAATCTCTTTTCGCCAGCTGAATTTCTACTCTCGCCTCCCTCTGCGATTCCCTCTTTCTTCCTCTAAACTACAAACCTCAATGTCTAGTGTTGCTCGAGTCTCCGCTCGTTCCACGCAGCCGCATCCTCCTACTTCTTCTGCTGCCGTGTCAGCACCAGCTCCGTCGGGTACTTCTGTTGTTCCACCGATACGCCGCCACCTGGCTTTCGCCTCGACGAAGCCGCCATTTGTTCATCCTGATGATTACCATAGATTTTCCTCTAATAATACTAACAATAATCTAGCCAATTCTAGTAATACTCGTGGAATCATCGCCGATCAAGAAGTTGAAGCGATTGTGGTGAGATCCACTGTGAGTTTTTGTAATTTTCATTAAATTCATTTCACAATATTTTCTTAAAAAATGGTGATTGTGATGTAGTGAGTCAACTGTCAACATATGCATTTTTTTCTGTTGCTTATACCCTCATTTATTTATCGTTAGATTGTGCTCGATCGCAACCTCTTAATGACAATAAATACTATTCACTTTTATGTTCTTAATCTTATAGTGGTTTTTTTCAAAAAATCTTTTCTCTACAAGAACTTTTCATGGTGGCTTGTTTACTTAGTGGAATTGAAATTCTCGATATCAATATAATTATTTCATTTTTTTGACTCTGCTGAGAAATCATTACGCTTGTATTTTAATACGTGAACTGTTCATAGGGCATTTATGTTTTTGGTGATGCATTTGATGGTATAATGGGCTTTGGGTTGCGTAAAGCGCCACTTTGCTGAACTAAGATAAAACGCCGGGATCCGGGATCATCCAATAGCTAAAACTTGATGGCTTATACACTTTCATCCCCTCAGAAACTAGTTTTAGCGCTATAACCTTTGGCCCTCATGCCAAGGAGTGAATATCTAGCTATTGGGTTTAGTTTGTGATAATTTGGATTTCAAACCATATTGTAATTGATAGTATATTATTTTTTATGCAATAAACTTGCTCAGAGAGGAAGCTGGTGCTTCTGTTGCATTGTTGGTTCAAAAGCAGAAAATTAGATGTCATGCCCTATGTTGAAAAGAACTTGAAGTCTGTAAATTCTTTGTATGTTGCAGCTTTAACGGCTTTTGATAAATGATGCCGTTGATATTGTTGTGACTTCCCCTTTCATAAATTACAATTGCTATTCTCTCTCAAAAACCTATGCACGTATATGATATTCCTTTCTCTCACTGTCCAGTGCCCACCTAATAACAAGTGAATCACTATTTTTCGTACATACTTGACTACTTCATGACATTGATCTCTATGAACTTTGGCCTTGGCAAAAACCTTCTGAATCAAATAGTAAAGTAACTCTGAAGGTTTTTATGGTTAACACTTCACAGTAATTTTTCTTATGCATATTATATATTTGCATATGTTGGACATAGGCTCTTTTCCTTATTTTAATTGTTTTTAGTGTAAATATAGCCACACTTAAATTATTTTATTTTCTTTCCATAGACATACATAACTTCTGAGATAAACTTGTAACTCCTTTTATTAGAACACTTTGAAACACTGCCTTTTTTTCTCAGCCGTTAAAAAGAAAGAGCACAGTGGAGAACAAGGAAGTTGAACCTAGCCAATGGACAAATAGTCCTGGAATTACCAACATATCCAATAGTCCATTCCAGACACCTGTATCTGCAAAAGGAGGAAAGATGAATAGTAGATCAAAGGCCAATAAGTCTACTTCTCAAACACCTGTGGCACATGCTAGTGAGAAACTTTGCCCTTTCATCCACTTTATTATCTCGCCATTTTTATGTCAGCTACTAGCATTGTCAATAAAAGAACTCTTATATTTCAGTCCCAAGATGTATGTATGAGTTTGATTACTTTATTGGGTAGACTAATCACTAATGTGCATAGAAAGACAGAAAATGGGAGGAGAACCACTGACATTACATATGGCATCGCAGGTTCTCCATCTCCTCTTACTCCTGCTGGTGCTGGCAGCTGCCGTTATGACAGTTCTTTAGGTAACCTTAATAATGTGTGTGTGTGTGTGTGTGTGTTTGAAGAAAGCATGGATAATTTTTTGGCTGTGCCTAAAACTTTTAGTCATGGTGAAATGTGTGGAATTTTTAGGTTTCTTGACAAAAAAGTTCATCAATCTCATAAAGCATGCTGAAGATGGTATCATTGACCTAAATAAGGCTGCAGAAACGTTGGGGGTAAATGATATACATTTAACTGAACTTATGTACCTTTGGGTGTTTTGTCATATTACTGAAATGGATCTTTTATTTGTTCATCTATTTTTTTATTGGTATTTCCCCCCTCTCAACAGGTGCAAAAGAGAAGGATATATGACATAACAAATGTTTTGGAAGGCATTGGTCTTATTGAAAAGAAGCTGAAAAACCAAATTATTTGGAAGTAATTACTGATGATGTTAAAAGTTTTCAAGAATTTGTTGTCTTAATTTGGTTTGTCATTCTGGTTAACCTTCAAATAACATGGGATTTATTTGAGTATTAAATCAAATTTACTAGGGGCGTTGATGATTCAAGACCAGGAGAAGCAGATATTGATCTCTCTGTATTACAGGTATGCAGAAGCAATATTGATTTTGTTTTACCTGGACATCCCAGGGCAACAATTTCTCTTGTTATTGTGTATAAGAGTTTTTGTTTCTTTGTTTTGGTTTATGACTCTCGAGAGAATGTTCGATCAGTGCTGGTTGACCGATTTGTGTTCTTTGTTTCCTACATATTATATTTGTTTCTCTTTTGTATGCAGGCAGAAATTGAAAACCTTACCATGAAAGAGCACGCATTAGATGATCAAATAAGGTTATGCGTGGCTTATTTTCTTGCAATATTTTTGACTCCCGCAAACCAGTTTTGGATTGCTGATGCTTCTAAAATATTGTAGAGAAATGCAGGAAAGATTGCGGGATTTGAGTGAGAATGAAAACAATCAGAGGTAAGAATAATGTCTCCTCTGTCTTGCACTGGGATCCAATTAATTGTTAACTGCAGATTCCTTGCAAACAATGACACATTTACCCATCTTCAATTTTTTTCAGGTGGCTTTTTGTGACTGAAGAAGACATCAAGGGTCTACCTTGTTTTCAGGTCTGTTGATTCCATGTTTGATTTAATTTTCTCCTTCACAATCATCTTCTGCACTTGACCCTGGTCTCCAAAACATCTTGATTTTACTAGGGCTAAATTTTCCACATTCCTTTTGGCAGAATGAAACCCTGATAGCAATTAAAGCCCCACATGGAACAACTCTGGAAGTACCTGATCCTGATGAAGTAAGCTTATGATTAGAGAATTCTAATGAGTTAGCACCATTTTTACTTTTAATGTTTTGAATGCATGATTGCATTGCTTCTTCATATTCCAGGCAGTCGACTACCCACAAAGGAGATACAGGATGATCCTTAGAAGCACAATGGGTTCCATTGATGTTTACCTTGTCAGGTATTGCTTCCTTTTGTATGCTAAGCTATTTATGGTTCATGTTTCTGAACCATCTTTCTTTCTCAATGAAATCTAACTGATGATGGACAGCAATGGTTCTTGTTTTGGCATCCTTCTCTCTCTTTTTCCCCCCTTCTTTTCAAATTGTTATTTTTCCTCAGCCAATTTGAGAAGTTTGAAGAGGTGAATGGTGTTGAGCCACCGGCAAGAGCCTCACTTGCGTCAAGCTCTGGTTCTAACGAAAACCAAGTTGAGGTCAATGTGGATGGCACCAGAAAGGAAATTGAACCACAGGCAGTGCAAACTCATCAAATGAGCTGTGATGTTAATGGTTCACAGGAGTCTGTTGGGGGAATGATGAGAATTGTTCCTTCGAGTATTGATGTAAGTTTGATTCTTTTGACCATTTGTTTCTGTAGCAAGCTTTATAGAGAGTGAGTATATGAATTGTTGTTAATGGCCAAGATACTTTTAAAGTTAGGTGTGGATTTAAAATTCATTTGTAGCCTGGGTTGTTACCCAACTTTAAGGCCCAAGATCAATTTCCTTTTCTGCACAGGACTTCATCATGCACCAAAATCGGGAAAAAAAGAGAGTTGAAGAAACCACTCTGCTCCATCTTTGTATGGTTAAAATGTACATTTCTGTTTCCAACAGTTGAGATTGACTCACTTTCTTGTCTTGTTTCCAGAATGATGCAGATTATTGGCTTCTATCAGATGCTGATGTTAGCATAACAGATATGTGGAAGACAGACTGTATCCTTCTAGAAAATTTATAGCTCTTTGATACGCTTGAACCCGAAGGCTGGAAAAAGAACTTGCCCAAACTCTTTTTATCCAATATACATTCATTGGCACGATATTTTAATGTGTAATCCTTGACTCCAAGAATTGCAGGTGCTGAATGGAGTGGGGTAGATATGCTTGATGCTAATTTTGGCATGGTTGATATCAGTATCCCAAGACCCCAATCCTCACCATCCACGATGGTTGAAGTGCCATCTTCTGCTTTTAACTCTAATCATAAGTAAAATTAGTTTTCCTAACCAAGTACTATAAACTATACCCCTATCTTTGATTAACATGGATCACTGGATAAAAATGTGGTTGGTAACTTGGGGGGGGTTACAATTATTTGCACACTTGAGCATTTTATGAATTATTTACACAAATTCATGTGTTACATTGTTGAAATTGGGGGTTAGTCCGTTGGATGATACTGGGATCACATGGTTGACATTGTCCACCAAATCTGATTATATACCAATTAATAGCCCTTGGTTGATCTTGAATCTGTTTGAAATATCAAATCCAGCTATAGCAAGTGTAGATGTGTAGAATTGATGCATTGAGATGACAATCAATGATGATGAGGTTTTGTTTGATCTATAGAGAATGACTTCTAAAAATATTTTATTTTACTTTTTAGATATTACTTTTAAAGATTCAGTTTTAAGTTCAATAAAAGCTATGTTTTCACTTTTCACATGGTGGCTCTAAGCAATGAGATAAACAAACAAACAAACAAAAAGGTGCTGTTGCATGCTGCAGAAACTAGACCATATGCACTGAAAATTATTACTTATGTAAACAGAATAATAACTATAAATTAATTAAATAACTAAAATAGGAAGCTAATCACAAGCTTATAGTGGTGTGCTGATCAGCTAAAAATGGTTGATTGATATTAGATTTGTATTTATTCGGCCCCGTGAACCTTTGATATCCGGCGGCCTTGCTTGATTTGAGAATATATGATTCTGGGATAAAACTGCATGTGAATCCTTGTTTATCTACGCACGAGCCAGACATTGCACTTATATAATATATTATATCTTGATTTTTAATATATATATATATATATTAAGTTCGTGTCATTTGATTAATTGATGACAAACTTTTTATAATAATAAATATGTACTCAGAAATATAATCTTTAGTACCAATTATACAATTAAACGCTGCAAACAGAAAAAGGTTCGGTTTCTACGTTTTTACTGTTGTATTCAGGAATCCACCAAACAAATTCAATAGTAAAGGAAAGTATTTTTCTTTCTACTAGTTTTGGATTCGAACATTTTCATTTGCAGAGTGCTTAATATTATCAATGACTAAATTTTTGTAAAAAGATGATATATTATAACCACCGTGTTAAAAAATTACCTACATATTCAGTTTCTACTATTAAAAAGAAGTTGCAAGTATCGTGTTGTACTACAAATTTGATTTTGGATAAAAACTCTCTTTTTATATATTAATTAATGGAAGGCATGTAAGAACCTTCCATTTTTCCAATGAAAATAATTTATGATCATATTGCTCGCAAACCCCTTTTTTGAAGAAAAAAAAGAAAGTCAGTCAAATCCGACGATGCCACTGATAGGGTTTTGATTTATATTATTTTGATTTATGTGTCCGATTTTATCTCTAAAGTCACACGAAAGTCGATTACTAATACTTCAAATATTACTATGTAGGGAAAGTAAAAGCCATGGACCCCTCTCTCACATGCAGGACTTATGGTGTTTATAATTTATAGATAGCTTTCTTCCATGCTCATTAAGTTGCCGCTCTCCCATCTCCGTTTTCTCTAAGTAAACTTCTCATTATCTAATACACACAAATGTCAGTCAACAAAAAGAAGCTGGTCCTCAACACAGTTCCAGTCAGCTTAGGCTGCAAGAAATTGAAGCTCACCAGTTTCTTCAACCCTAAACCCAAACCCAAACCACATTCTCCTTCATCTAAAACAACAACACATTCTTCCTTGTCCGAATTCGAAACCCCCACCTCGTTTTCTCCGAGCTCGGACACCACCACTCAGTACTGGGACATGGACATGGGAACAGACAAGGAAACCAAGGGTTCAACGATTACGGTTCGAGGGTTTGGTCGTGTCGGAGGGGAGAGTCTGGCGGTGGAGAAAGAGTCCGATGATCCTTACTTGGATTTCAAGTACTCAATGCTGCAAATGATACTGGAGAAAGAGATATATTCGAAAGTTGATTTGAAGGAGCTTCTCAACTGTTTCTTGAAGTTGAATTCTCCTTATTACCACGGGATCATTGTTAGAGCTTTCACTGAGATCTGGAATGGGCTGTTTTCCATCAAGCCCCGTGCCGATTCCCCCATGCCGTATTTCGGAGGTTTTCATTAAAAAATGAAGTTATTTGTATTTATATTAAAAGTTTTTGGTGATATATTATCATCTTATCCATTAATCATATGTAAAATTATATAAAATGTTAATATATCAGATGATAACGTATCATCAATGAAATTTAAATTTTAAATCATTTAACTTCAATTTGATGATATTTCATTGTTAAATTCTTGAAAAATATAAAGAACTGTACACAAATTCCTCATTAAGATACCATTGATGTTTTTGACTGCAGTCCAACGAGTGAATTGTGACAGGTGAGGTTATTGATAACCCATGTTAATTTAGACAGTTGATTAAAGAAGTATTTTCAGGTTAAATGCAGCAGGGGGTTGCGAATGTAAAGCTTTTTTTTTCATGCATTAAATGGAAAATATTTATTTCTTTAATAGTATGAGGGATTATAAGATAATATTTATTTAAAATTTTCTTAATCAATTAACAACGCACATACACCATGTAAACATATTTGCTTGAACCTAAGACTTCAAATAACAATATTTTTTTTACCATTGAGACCACTTGATAAGTGTAAATGAAAAATATTACTTTAAATAAAAAGCTTTAATCAAAGTGTGTTACTGTTCATACATTTCTTTAAATATTCCTTAGCTTAGAGAGAGAGGGAGTGTTTTTGAAAGCAAAACTCGTATGTACAATATTTGTTTCGTTTTCTTGTGCTTTTGGGGTACTTGATCGGCAGACAAGTTTACCCCACAAAAGAGTTATCAACAGAATGTATGGGGCATTATTTGATCAAATGATGTTGTAAGCGGTGAAGTACCCTTATATTTGAAGGAGGGATTGGGTTTCATCTTTTTTTGTTTGTGGGTTCAGGGACAGTCATACCTCAGAATCTCAGCCACATTTTAATTTTTGGAAAATTTACACCTACTGCTCACTCAATTACAAGTATTACTCACCCAACTTCGAAAGGTTTCAAACAAGTTATTTAACTAATCCATTGTTAAAGATTACAAATGAGTCATTCATTTATGAATAAGATTACAAACAAGTCATTCAATTTCAAAAAGTCATAAATGAGTCACTTAATTAATCAAAAAATAAAACCTATTTTGGGTTTTGGACTTCTTGTAAATCAAAGGTTCCATTCGACGATCCAAATAATGAACATGTTTTCATTTGGTGAGATGAATAACATATCCTGAGATGAAGGCCATCTGATGGTGATCGACATAGATCAATGCTTAAAAAATTTGAAAGAAGTAGGGTGATTTCATGCGAGATTCTCGTGAATCTAATTCAACGAATTAAATGAGAATATCGCGGTGAATCTTATGATAAAATTTTTGGCTCGTGGATCATCATATGCGATAGCGGGCAATGGTCAACGTAATGGCATGTATCTTGATTCTTACAATCAATTAATTAGATGACTTGATTGCTATAATCAATTAAGTGACTCGATTATAACCCTATAAAATCTAATATTTTTTAAATGAATAAAAAACTTTGCGTTTGAAAGTCATCTAATAATTAACGATCTAATGATATGATTATACTAATCAATTAGTTAGGTGATTCATTTGTAAGTTTATAGAATTAGGCGACTTAATTGTAATCTTAACAAGACTTTTAAATAAGTTTGATTTAATAAGTTTACTCAGATTTGTATGGTGGTTTAAAAAGTTCAATAAATCTTTTGAAATGACAGTTTAACTATATTTGTATGATGATTTAATAAGTTTGCGATTTCATCTACTTACGTTGTTCGCCTTTAAATCAAATTCACAATCTTTTTATTATAAAAAACAAAGCTATTTTTAGAATTTCTTCTTTTGTTGCAAAATTTTATAAAGTTAGAAGTAATGATAAACAAAAATAAGTTAGGGAGGGTGTTAGTTTTCTTTGGGTCTTGAATTCGAATAATTATATTTATGAGACATGTATACATCGTAAATGATTAAAAAATATTTTAAATAAATATTATATTTATAATAATCTCGTACTGTTTAAAAGAAGAGTTAACGGACTCTACTCTCTCTAATGGACGACATCTCTAACTTTGGTGTGGCCACCAAAACAAGATGCTCTTCCTTTACCTGAAATATAAACCCTTTGTTGATTTTTGTAGTTTGTCTAATCAATATAAGGATTTATGAACAAAATGGGGTCTTATTTCATGTCTTTGTCAAATCTAAAGAGAATAAAATCATAAATATGAGATCTTTTTTCTCCCTCCAAACTAATAGAACTTCATTTTTAATCCCTTGAAATATTATAAAATTATAAACTAACACAATAATAAATATATTTTTTTACTCTAAAAAATTATAATTAGATTTTATATCAAAATAATATCTTTTTAATAATCTAAGATGATTACAAGATAATATATGTTTATAATCTTTCTTAATCATTGATAATACACTCACCATGCAAAATAGTCAGTACAATGATTAAGTTGGAATCTTTAACCACTCAAATTTATATCAAAATAGTCAACAATCTCTAGAGCATATGGTTAAAAACACTGAGTTGATACCTCCCCTCCCCCTTATGTTGTGGGTTCGATATCCATTAGGAACAAAATTCCTCTTCCCCTCCCCTATAAGAAATTATTCAAAAAAATTATATCAAAATATACCATTTAACAAAATATATTCAATATTTATTTGATATTTACATTTTTAAACTAATCCAATTGATTAGACCAATCGAATCACATCAAAGATTTTTTGAAAATTTAACTTGTAATTCACTTATCAAACATTGATTAAATCTAACTGGTACAAGTACACAATGGAATTCAGCAAATATAAAATTAAAATTTCAACAACTCTATTTCCCTTGTCCCAAACCCTAATCTCAAATAGGACCATTCTTTTGTAAAATAAAATGTGGATCACAAGCCAAAACCCCACTATTTGCAAATGTTGAAAAATATCAAAGGAAGAAGACATAGTGGGCACCCAATCTTCCTCACAGTGGGGAACATCTCATTACTTGTTTGCCTACAAAAATGCACACAATGCCTAAACTGAAATGATGATATTTCTTTTGAAAAAGAAAAAGAAATAAAAAAGTACCCTCCAATAGATTCTATATCTATAGTTTTTGTGCGAATGAATTAAGGCAATAAGTGATTTCCTTTATCTTCCTTCGTTGATGTTTCAAACTCCATCATGATTTACAGTAGTAGCTAACTCACTTGGTTTTGTACCCTTATATCCAAGGTTTAAACCATCCCTAAAATTGTAAGTTTTAATAGTAAAAACACACTCTATCATATATTTGCTTATATGATGTGCATATTTGGGTTTCATATAATTTTTCCTTGTTATTAAGTAGATGTCTTCAAGGGTTAAATTAGCCACCCAACCAAGTATAGTATGAAATTTGAAAAAAATATTAGAAAAAAAATTAAGTATGAAAAATGAATTTGAGAGAAAAAAATTGATTATAATATGGGTCAAACTTGAGCTCCAACGAACAAGATCTAAGTCTAGTCTAGCTCACTTTTAGATATTGTAATATATGTATTTTATTTTACTTTTTATATATGATATAATTTATATCACATAAAAACTAAATCTATAATAATATAAACATTAAAAATATATATTAATTTGTTTAGGTTTAAAATTTTAATAAAAATAAAACTATTTAAAAATGTTAAATACTAAATTAAAATAATATATATTAAAAAGATAATATAAACAAACTCAAGGTGATATTGGATTAATCATTTACAAATATGAACAGATCTAAAAAGAATTTAAGAATCACGTTTTAAGTCGCAACGAACTTGAACAAACAAAAAATATATCAATGTTATACATAAGTTCGAGCCAATCTATGCTTCTCAGTTCTCGTACAATTGGAAAGAAAAATCTATAGTAGCTAGGGTTTGCTTTTAAGTTGTGTTGGCCATCTTTTGCAATCTAATAAAAAAAAGGAGAAATGACTGAGATACTGTAAGTGGGATTTTTTAATTCCCAATATAGTCCATCCCGGTGATTATTTCCTCATTTAGGGTGAATTAAACAGTACCAACCTAAATACGTCAAGTGCTCCACGCGTCTTCAAGCTAAATATGAAGATTCCATGACTGTATGGCGTTTTCATGTAAATGAAGAAGTCTCCGCGGCCGCATGACGTCTTCGGACAAATTGAGAAGACCCCGAGAGTGCACGGCGTATTCATATCAATAAAAAACTCCAATTCAAAAAATAATATGGTGGATGTCTTATATGAGGAGATTATTTTTCTCACAACCCTATATGGGCGAGGAAACCAATAAAAAAGAGAACATGAAGTTGGGGTGTTGGGCCATAAATGGATAATAGTGTGGCTCTTAATTGACATGGCAAAATTTGTTAACATTTACAATACATGTGGTTGCTGTGAAAAGGAGAAAAAGAAAGTTTAAAAAATTAAGTAAAAAGCAAAGTTGGTGACCAATGAAGTGCTACATTCTGATTTGGAAGATCTACTATATCTAAGACTTGTTAAGGGCAAAGGTTTTGTTGTGACAACAAAAGAAAACGATGGAGCCAAATCAAATGAATTAACTAAGTCACTAAAAGGACAATTGAAATCCTATCGTTTTCAATCTTTGTCCCTTATAGAGGGAACCCCTAATTGCCATTGTCTTACAAATATTTATATTCCTAATGTTTTCCTTTTATAGAAATTTAATTTAAGGGCTAGTTTTAACTCTTACTTTATGGGTTGCTAGATTCCTTTTACTTTAAGCCAACATTAAAGACCATTTCAAGGTTGTCAACTAACGAGCATTGAGGGTCCATGATTTTGTGGTTTAATTAAACAGAGATCAAATTTATTAAATTTTGTTGATGAAAATAAGTTTATTTCATTGATTTGTTAGTGGTTCATTTCTTCTGATTTGGAAGGAGAATCGTAATTAATAGAGATTTCACTGTTGATTGTTGGTTTATGAGGGAGGTGAAGACATAAAGGGATATGAGTGAAAAATAATGAAGCTGAGTCCCCCTCTCAGTCGTGACCGA